CAGCTCTTTATTACAGATAAACACTGACCTCCTGGTGATCGACCACCAGCACCAGCTCGATGTATTTGGTCTCAGACAGGATGTCTCTCCTCCTCTGCACACAGAACAAAATACATATAAAATACCTCATTCAGATACTGCTGATACTACCCAGAGTACTACTCACAGTACTACTCAGAGTATTAACAATGACACCACTATCCAAAAACTGATCCAGAATCTAAAAGTGAGGTTTTAAAGTGTAATCTTTGACTTCAGCTCCCTGCAGAGTTTGGAGCTCTGTGATTGGATGTTTTAATCATCACTGTAGAACAGACAAACAGAGAGACAGGTGTAGAGACAAACAGAGAGACAGGTATGAAGACAGACAGACAGACGGGTATGAAGACAGACAGACAGACAGGTATGAAGACAGACCGGTTCGTGGTCTGTCTCACCCGGTGTGTGTGTGTGGAGCTGTGGAGCGGAGGCACAGCGGCTTGTGAGACTCCACAACCTCCGGCACCGTGGCCCTCCAGAGGGCTGGTGGAGAACAGCAGGTGAACTCCTCCTCCTGCTACTCCTGCTCCTCCTCCTCCTCCTCCTCTGCTCCCTCCACTCCCGTCTCCCTCCTCCTCCCCCCCCCTCCCCTGCTGGTGGGGGTGCAGGTCCTCCTGAGGCTGCAGCTCAAAGCTCAGCGTGGAGTTGAAGGCGATGAGGCCGCTGCAGGAGGAAACACAGGAAGGGTCAGTTATCATGAGCATCGAACAGCTGACGTCTTCTGATGACATCAGCAGACAGGAAGTGACGTCAGGAGACAGGAAGTGACGAACATGAAGCGTAAAGAGTGATTACACTAATCCTAACAGGTGGCGGAAAGTAAATTTGTACTTTTACTCCTTTTACTGTACTGTCTGTGTACTTGTACTTTACTTGAATATTTGTATCTCATGCCACATCAGTAATAATGTAAACACATAATTTAGAATCTTCATCATGGTAATGCTTCACTAATACTATTAATACTGTTAATATCTTATTAATAATGTTAATATCTAATTAATAATGTTAATATAACAGTAATAATGTTAGGCATCATGTTAACAGTATTAATAATATGAATGTTTTAATAGTAAGTTGAATATTGTTATTAATAATAATACTGTTAATCTATAAGTCATGTTATGTTAATGTTGAGCGGATGAGTAAATGATAACTAGTGTGTTTTATTCTTTAGTGATGATTCAAAGACTTATGTGAGAATATTATTAATTTATCTTTTGATAAAGAGAAACATTTGCTTCATATTGTGATAATAAAGCTTTTATAAAGTTTGTTCTCAATAACCAGATTCAGCTAAAGTTCCTAATCCTCCGTGTGTTGATCTGGTTCACAGAGGTCTCTGTGTACTCCACAGAACTGGACCAGGTCCTCTTCACGTGAGCCTGTACACACTGATCCTCCTGAGGCTGTGAGCCGCTAGAGGTGAGAGGTTACAGCTGATCCGGGTCGGTTTAACCCGCAGAGGAACGCCGACGTCGTCACGTTTATTTCTGCTGAGTGCAGCACAGAAACACAAAGACCTGGACCTCAGGAGATCTGGACTCTGTACAAACCGGATCGGAGGTTCTTTAGGTTTTAAGAGATTTTCTTTCTCTAAATGTGTTTTCTCTGAATAAAGCCGGTCGTGATGTAACCTGCTGCTTGTGTTACGCTCTGTGCTCAGATGAGGACACACGTTTGTTTGTCCGGTAGACAAAGGTGTGTAGTGTTTGTGTATTTCTCAGGTAAACAACTTAACGATACGTTTCTGTAATTAACTCACTATCGGAGGAAACATGGCGACGACAACTTATGAAAGACTGTTTATAGAGGATCAGGAGAAAACTGCACTTCAGCATGCTACTATCATTCTGTTATCTTATTGCTGCTTTTGTGTTGAGATTCATTTGTTTAATGAAATAATCTTATTATAAATAATGTCCTTTATTTCATGGTCTGGGTCAATACTGGATTCTGATTGGCTGCAGGGTGTCCATTAATTCCTGGTGTTTGTTACTGACTTTGAATCTTGCTAGCATAACGTTAGCTTTACGTGAGCAGCACGTTAGCTTTACGTGAGCAGCACGTTAGCTTTACGTGAGCAGCACGTTAGCACGTTAGCTTTACGTGAGCATTACGTGAGCATAACATTAGCTTTACGTGAGCATAACATTAGCTTTATGTGAGCATAACATTAGCTTTATGTGAGCATTCTGTAAGCTTTCAGTTAGTATAATGTTAGATAGTAGTCCAGAGCAGGTGCTCAGAGCCACTCTGGACTGAGGGTATTAGTACTAAGTGTGTCTATTAGTACTAGGTGTGTCTATTAGTACTAGTTGTGTGTATTAGTAGTAGGTGTGTCTATTAGTACTAGGTGTGGAGACTCACCGGAGTCCGGAGCAGGTGCTCAGAGCCACTCTGGACTGAGGGTATCCTCTGACGTTGCCGTGATAATAACAGTGAGTCTGCACACAAACACACAAACACCTGTCACACAAACATCTGTCACACAAACACCTGCCACAGCTGGAAAACATAACAGAAGACAATCTCTCTGGCGGTGCTTTCACTGACTCACCACAGGGTCGGCCCTCATAGACACTCCAGTGCCGTTGGGCAGGTAGTAGAAGACGTTGGGCGGTTTGGGCAGCAGGTCACTGAGGAGACGCACACACATCTGTAACTCTCTTATGCTTGTGTTGTGTTTAAGGTCACCATGTAAATCAGAGACTCACTGGTTCTTCTCCAGGTCCAGCAGGAAGAGACGTCCTCCCACCTCCAGTCCACACTGTAGCCGGTCAGGGTGTCCGTCCTGGAGAGACAGACAGGAAGAAGAACGTCTCTTTATTTACTGAGACTATCGTGGTGTTCACACAGAAACTGTAAAGGAACAAAAGCACAAACTTCTGATCCATAATCTAGTTAACTTTCATGTGTAAGTGTTCATTTTAAAGTTAATTTGATGTGTGTGCAGCCGTTTTTCATTTGATCACTTCCTTTTCTAGTGCTTTAGGATGGGGGCGGGGCTAAGTACATCCGTTATCCAATCAGTGAGCTTTCCTGCCTGTTAATGGAGAGCTGCTCTTTGAGGAGGAGAGACTTCCTGTCCAACGCTTTCTCCTCTCAGCTCGACAGGAAGTCAAGGTGTGTGTGTGTGAGAGAGAGTGTGAGTGTGTGAGAGTGAGTGTGTGTGAGTGAGTGCGTGTGTGAGTATGCGTGTGAGTGAGAGAGAGTGAGTGTGAGTGTGTGAGTATGCGTGTGAGTGAGAGAGAGTGAGTGTGAGTGTGTGAGAGTGTGAGTGAGTGAGAGTGTGTGTGAGTGAGAGTGTGTGTGTGTGTGAGTGAGAGTGTGTGTGTGTGAGTGAGAGTGTGTGTGTGAGTGAGAGTGTGTGTGTGTGTGTGTGTGTGAGTGAGAGTGTGTGTGTGTGTGAGTGAGAGTGTGTGTGTGTGAGTGAGTGCGTGTGAGTGAGTGAGTGCGTGTGTGAGTGTGTGTGAGTGAGAGAGTGCGTGTGTGTGTGAGTGAGTGTGTGAGTGAGAGAGTGTGAGTGAGTGAGTGAGTGCGTGTGTGAGTGAGTGTGTGCGTGAGTGAGTGCGTGCGAGAGTGAGTGAGTGAGAGTGTGTGTGAGAGTGTGTGTGTGTGAGTGTGTGTGAGTGAGTGCGTGTGTGAGTGTGTGTGAGTGAGTGCGTGTGAGTGAGAGTGTGTGTGTGAGTGAGTGAGTGAGTGAGTGAGTGAGTGTGTGAGTGAGTGAGTGTGTGTGAGTGTGTGTGAGTGCGTGTGTGAGTGTGAGTGTGTGTGAGTGCGTGTGAGTGAGAGTGTGTGTGTGAGTGTGTGCGTGTGAGTGCGTGCGAGTGAGTGAGTGTGCGTGTGTGTGAGTGAGAGTGTGTGTGTGAGTGAGTGTGTGTGAGTGAAAGAGTGCGTGTGTATGTGTGTGAGTGAGTGAGTGAGTGAGTGTAAAAGCATGTTTTCTTTCAACAATGGCCAAAAATAAACCGTTTATTGAAGCCAGAAGCTGTAAAAACTATCCTTATTGTCGGCTTTTCATCTTTCAGACGGTCCGTGAACACATCATTTCACACACACACTTTATTCTTCATGTTGTCATAATAAATGTCTCCTATAATAAAGAGTTCACTTTAACCAGATTGTGTAAAAACATTAGAGTGTGAAACTATGAAGTCATGATTGATTCATCATAAATAAACAAACAAGCTTGTCATTCACAGAGTAGATCAGCTGATTAATTAACATTAATTCATTTAATTAATCTCTTTAATGAGCTATATGAGGCTGCTGTTTAGTTTAAGAACAAAGTGAGAGATTCTGAGATTTATAGATATTTAACTGTGTTTATCTCCTTTTATTTTATTGATATTTAATATAATGTAAATATATAAATGAGTCTAAAGACTAATAGAACCAGTTGACCTGATGTTTAATAGATTCCTTTGAAATGAGCAGAATTCCTCTCTGAGGCGTGTTTGTTTTCTCCACCCTCTGAACTCTGTTGGGTGGAGTCATGATGTCATAATCAGTCCAGCTGGGTCTGAAAGGAAACTGAAGCTGTGAGACGAACACACACACACACACACACACACACACACACACACACAGTCTGTCTCTGTCTGTCTGTATAGTGAGGTCATGTCTCTCTCCAGATGATGTCAGAGCTGCTGCCAAAACAGAGGAAAAAAAGGATGAGGAGGATCATCATACAATTCTAGAAGAAGTGGACGTAGTCATCGTGATGTTTTCAAGCCTCTAGATCAGCGTTTTGTCCGTCGCCATCTTGTTTTTTTTGCAACCAGTGAACAGGAAGT